GTGAGCACAATTATGAAAAATATTGAATTTCAAATGCGGACAAAAATTGAACAATGATATGAATGCCGAGATTTTCCATATCAAGTTCTTGACCGGATTCTCAATGAAAATTGCAGTATTGCATTCAATAGCGATTCGAGCAATGAGAATTGTGATTTCGTACAAAAGGTTTGTTAATTCAATCCTTAATTTATCAATGTTTTTCAATTATGGAAATCCATCGGGATAATTATCGACTTTCAATGGATATGGTTCCTTGATCGAAGGAAATTTAGAAATTAAATTTCCGACAATATGGATAGATGAAAAGCAGAGCAGGGAAGAGGCAGAGAGAAGAAAAAAATTAGAAGAAAAAAAAATAAGAAGAATTAAATATAGATGTATGAAAAGATAGGAAAATCGCGAAGCATTGTGTTTTTCCAATGATTTGGGGCTCCGGAGGGTCGAAAACTAGGCTCGCGAAAGCGGCGGGTGCGGAGCCAGCTGGCCAGATGAGAGAAGAAAAATTGCACGCCGTTGTGGCGTGAAACACATTTCCAAGTCAAAATATATAAAATGCACCAGGTGCGGACCACTTTTGGCAGTTGAGATGTAGAAAAAGTGCACGTCGTTGTGGCGCGAAGCACATTTCGAAATGAAAATATACAAAGCCGGCCATTCTCGGACCATTTTTGGAAGTTGAGATGTCGAAAAAGTGCGCGCCGTTGTGGCGCGAAGCAGATTTCCAAGTGAAAATCTTTAAAAATCACACCATGGTCGGACCGCTTTTGGAAATTAAGATGTCGAAAAAGTGCTCGCCATTATTGCGCGAAACACATTTCCAAGTGAAAATGCACAAAATACACCATGGTCGGACCATTTTTAGCAATTAAGATGTCGAAAAAGTGCACGTAATTGTGGTACCAAGAACATTTGGAAATCAAAACGCTAAAATCATTAGGGGTTCGGACCACTTTTAGAAATTTAGATCTCGAAAAAGTGCACGCCGTTGTGGCACGGAACACATTTTGAAATCAAAATATAATTTCCAACAATATGCATAGATGAAAAGGAGAGCAGGGAAGAGGCAGAGAGAAGAGAAAGATTAGAAGAAAGAAGAATAAGAAGAAACAGATATAGATGTGCGAAAAGGTAGAAGCACTGTGTTTTTCCAATGATTTGGGGTTCCGGAGGGTCGAAAAATAGGCTCGCTAAAGCGGCGGGTGCGGAGCCAACTGGCCAAATGAAAGATGAAAAATTACACGCCGTTGTGGCGTGAAACACATTTCCAAGTAAAAATGTTTAAAAATCAGACCATGGTCGGACCATTTTTGGAAGTTAAGATGTCGAAAAAATACCCGTCGTTATATCGCGAAATACATTTCCAAATAAAAATATTTAAAATAGACCATAGTCGGACCACTTTTGGCAGTTAAGATGTCAAAAAAGTGCATGCAATTGTGGCGCGAAGCATTTTTGGAAGTTAAAATGCTAAAAATATTTAAGAGGGGGAATACGAAATGTAGGTAAGCAAAAAAGAATTCGAAGAAAAAAGAAAAAAGAGAAGGCAAAGGAAAAAAACATAAAGTAGAGTCTAATAAAAGCGACGCGGTCATTTTCTCTCTAAAAATAAAAGGTAGAGTCTAGTAAAAGTAATGGAAAAGCTTCGGCGGTGTGGTTAGGGTTGGCGGTGGTTGTCGTGTTGGTAGTGTTGGTGGTGTTGGTAGTGTTGATGGTGTTAGTGTTAATAGTGTTGTTTGTGTTAATAGTGTTGTTAGTGTTAATAATGTTGGTGTTAGTGGTGGTATTGGTGTTCGTGGTCGTGTTATTGGTGTAGTTGGGTTTGTTGGTGGTATTGGTGTTCGTGGTCGTGTTATTGGTGTTGTGTGTTGTGGTGTGTTGTGGTGTGTTGTGGTGTGTTATTGTGTGTTGATGTGTGTTGTTGTGTTTTTGTGTGTTGTGTGTTGTTGTATGTTGTGTGTTGTTGTGTGTTGTGGTGTGTTGTGGTGTGTTGTGGTGTGTTGTGGTGTGTTGTGGTGTGTTGTGGTGTGTTGTGGTGTGTTATGGTGTGTTGTGGTGTGTTGTGGTGTTTTGTGGTGTGTTGTGGTGTGTTGTGGTGTGTTGTGGTGTGTTGTGGTGTGTTGCTGTGTGTTGTGTTGTTGTGTGTTGTTGTGTGTTGTTGTGTGTTGTTGTGTTGTGTGTTGTTGTGTGTTGTTGTGTGTTGTTGTTGTTGTGTGTTGTTGTGTGTTGTTGTGTGTTGATGTGTGTTGTTGTGTGTTTTTGTGTTGTTGTGTGTTGATGTGTGTTGTTGTGTGTTGTTGTGCGTTGTTGTGTGTTGTTGTGTGTTGTTGTGTGTTGTTGTGTGTTGTTGTGTTGTTGTGTGATGTTGTGTGTTGTTGTGTGATGTTGTGTGTTGTGGTGTGTTGTGGTGTGTTGTGGTGTGTTGTGGTGTGTTGATGTGTGTTGTTGTGTGTTTTTGTGTGTTGTTGTGTGTTGATGTGTGTTGTTGTGTGTTGTTGTGTGTTGTTGTGTGTTGTTGTGTGTTGTTGTTTTGTTGTGTGTTGTTGTGTGATGTTGTGTGTTGTGGTGTGTTGTGGTGTGTTGTGGTGTGTTGTGGTGTGTTGTGGTGTGTTGTGGTGTGTTGTGGTGTGTTGTGGTGTGTTGTGGTGTGTTGTGGTGTGTTGTGGTGTGTTGTGGTGTGTTGTGGTGTGTTGTGGTGTTTTGTGGTGTTTTGTGGTGTGTTGTGGTGTTTTGTGGTGTGTTGTGGTGTGTTGTTGTGTGTTGTTGTGTGTTGTTGTGTGTTGTTGTGTGTTGTTGTGTGTTGTTGTGTGTTGTTGTGTGTTCTTGTGTGTTCTTGTGTGTTGTTGTGTGTTTTTGTGTGTTGTTGTGTGTTCTTGTGTGTTCTTGTGTGTTGCTGTGTATTGCTGTAAGTTGCGCGCGTTGCGTGGTGTTGCGTGGTGTTGCGTGGTGTTGCGTGGTGTTGCGTGGTGTTGCGTGGTGTTGCGTGGTGTTGCGTGGTGTTGCGTGGTGTTGCGTGTTGTTGTTGTTGTTGTTGGTGGTGGTGGTGGCGGCGTTGGTGTTGGTGTTGGTGTTCGTGTTTGTGTTGGTGTTGGTGTTGGTGTTGGTGTTGGTGTTGGTGTTGGTGTTGGTGTTGCCCCTGCAGCGTTTTTCTCAGTTCCGTAGTGGCCGAGAATCGTCAAAGGTGTGGTGTTTTCGCGTGTTTTTGCAACTCGCTGGTTGTTGTGTGTTGTTGTGTGTTGATGTGTGTTGTTGTGTGTTTTTGTGTGTTGTTGTGTGTTGATGTGTATTGTTGTGTGTTGTTGTGTTGTTGTGTGTTGTTGTGAGTTGTTGCGTGTTGTTGTTTGTTGGTTGTGGTTGTGGTTGTTGTTGTTGATGATGATGATGATGTTGTTCTTGCTGTTGTTGTTGTTGTTGGTGTTGGTGGTGGTGGTGGTGGTGTTGGTGTTACCCCTGCAGCGTTTTTTCTCGGTTCCGTAGTGGCCGAGAATCGTCAAATAGGTGGTGCTTTCGCGTGTTTTTGCAACTCGCGGAGCAAAAAACATCGTAAATGCCAATGTTTTTGGCCGGTCGGAAGCCCAAAACCACGGTATTTACAATGGTTTTTTGCATCTGGTAGCAAAAAGCATCGTATTTACAGTGTTTTTTGGCCAGCACCTAGCAAAAACACTGGTATTTACGGAGGTTTCACCATGTAACAAAATGTGGTTTCTTGATCCGAAAAGAACAAAAATACTGTAAATTACAATGTTTTGAGTCTGCTCTTAGGGTGCGTGGGAGGCATTGGGGGGGGTGGGGGGGGGTACTAAAATGACTAGCAATCTCCTGAATAATCAGGTAACGGGGCTGGCCGCCCTCCCCTTTACTTCGTAAAGTAAAACTCAAGGTAGCCCCTCTGGAGCTACCTTTCGTGACTAGGGGTTCGGACCACTTTTGGATGTTACGATATCGAAAAAGTGCACGCCGTTGTGATACGAAGCACATTTGGAAAATCGGACCACTTTTGGAAGATTAGATAGATAGATAGATAAGATAAAATAAGATAAGATAGGATAACGTAAGATAAGATAAGATAAGATAGATAGAAAGAGAGAGAGATAGATAGATAGATAGATAGATAGAGAGAGAGATAGAGAGATAAAGAGATAGATACATTGTTAGATAGATAGACAGATAGATAGACACACAAATAGATAGAGAGACAGCTGAATAAAAAGATAGAAAATAGATAGATAGATAGATAGATAGATCCACTACACTACACTCCACTCCACTACATTACGCTACACTACACTCCACTACGCTACAACTACAGCTACACAACTACACAACTACAGAACTACACTCCACTCCACTACACTAAATTACATTACACATCCCTTTCTTGGTGTAAGGTTAACTCTAAACCCAAACAGCACTGCAAGGGGGTGGAGACACAAACTGCTGGTGACCCCAGGCCAGCCCTGTGCTGGCTGGGGCACCACTCATACATGCCCACCTTGGGGGCAAACCAAGAACAAAAGCAACCATTCACTTCTTCTCCTTCTTCTCCACTCACCCAAATCAGGGCGGGAGGGCGGGCTTTCACAAACTGGGCCCTTGCCCTGTATGCTGCAGCTGCACTTAGGATACCAAAGCTACAAATCGCTGACAAAGCATTCACAAAGCATTCACAAAGCCAAGGCACCTTTAACCTTCCACAGCAAGGGATTGACCTTCCCAATCCTACGGTTGGGGGGTTACCATCCCTTTCTTGGTGTAAGGTTAACTCTAAACCCAAACAGCACTGCAGGGGGGTGGAGACACAAACTGCTGGTGACCCCAGGCCAGCCCTGTGCTGGCTGGGGCACCACTCATACATGCCCACCAAAGCAAAACCGTCGACACCCCAGCCTGCAGAGCGCTCAGGAGCAACGCCCCTCACCCAAATCATGCGCGCTCAGCAGCGACTCCTGCAAACATACCTGCACCGCTCGCATAAGCTTATAAGCAACAATGAGTCGTTACACCTGCCCAAGTGCTAATAGCTCTTTCCACTTGGGGAAGCACCTTTGCTGCGGCGACAGCTTCTGCCAAAAGTCATTGAATCTGTCTGCTCCTCGCGACAGCATGTCTGCCCACTCGTTGCGTTCCCCCGCAACATGCGACGATCGCAAAGTGAGCCGCTTGCTTGAACAAAACAAGGCACAAGATTGTAGCACCGCAGCCAATGGTCGCTTCAGTGAAAGCTTCTTTGCCGATGCGCCAACCACACCCAGGTTGTCACACATTTGGCGTATTGCCAGCCAGCCAACCTGATGCTGGGACACTTCCTGCGCCTCCACGCGACATGCCAGCAACAGCAACTGGGCTAACGCTTCCAATGCCGCAATGCAACTCTGCAAATCACCAGAAGCCGGTCTGAACCAGTCCGGCAAATCATCCCACGTGATGCGGACAGAGAAATACTGTACACACTCTGGCCGCAATGGCGCACCAGCTGGAAGCCACCAGCCTCCCAAATCCGCTGTTTTGCCTTCAGCAAACGCATCAGCAGCGGCAATCCCAGTGGCGTTGCTAACAACCAAGGGCACTGGCACACACTCGTTAACTACCTGTGTGATGAACCTTGCCACTGCAGCTTCTGCTTTGCTTACCTTTACTTTGGCACTTTCTGAGTCGCCAAACTTGACCCACCACCATCCACTGCGGTGTGGCAAGCCGAGGAGCTCATGCTTGGTGGCCACCTCACGGCTGCCAACACTCAACAACTGCCAACCTGGCAGGATGTCGGCCAAGCGGCATTTCGCCAAAACACGCATGCTATCAGACAAGACTCCGGCAAGTTCATGCACTTGGGCCGCATCAAGTTTTTGAAACCGCAACTGCTGTTTGAACAGGAGATGAAAAAGTTCGCTTAGCCAAGGTCGCAGCCACCGCGCGCCTGTGGTGAACCAACACAGCATTCCCAGCAACTGCCTCAACTCTCGCCAACACACACTGTTCCCCTCTTGCACCAGCGCACGCAAAGCAACACCAATCCTGACACGCTTGTCACCCGGCAGCGAAGCACACGGTTCATTTGTAAAACAGAGGCGCCATCCAATCCAATTCAGATCCGTGCTTAACAGTAGCTTATGCCAGGAAAGAGGCACCCCCAAGGCACAGGCCAACATTATGCAGAGGGAGGCTTGCAACGGCGCATCAGTCTGCTTAAACAATGCCAGCAAGTCATCAACATACATCGCCAGAAAATGGCCCCCATGAAGGAGCCGGTGCACGCATCTCACATAGGCTGCACCCGCTCTTGACCACCAGTATGCCGACCGGGCTGCCCCGAAGTGGCACGTTCTGTAAACGAGCCAGTGGTTCTGCCCTGCTGAATCCACTGCGCAGAACAGAGAAAAACCTTGATCTGAAGGATGCACCCGAATCCGCTTGTGTGCCTTGGCTACGTCAAGAGAAAATGCAATCTTATATTAGAACAAACTCAGGTAAACGTTTGGTTGGGGTATGTTTAAAGGTGTGTTATGCGCAATAGTTGCGGACGTATCGCTATAGCGCATCGCAAAATGAAACCACGATAAAAAATTAAAACCGAGCAAACCGCATCTGAAAGAAGTTTGAATGATAAACATGCCGACGCAACGTGACAACTGCTTCTCTCTTTTTCTCGCGCCCTGAAGGTCTGGGGTGGTCGCACCAAATGGTTCGAAGAGCAAGCTTTGATAAGACAGCTGTGTGAATCTGTCTTTTGGTTCGAATCTCACGGTTGTGAGTTGTCGATACAAAGGTGCTCAGTTGGTGCCCCCAGTTCAGGAGGAGCAGCTTTGTATGGAGAGTGAAGCAATTGGATCACAATTTCCGTAAAGTCATTGGAAGCATCTAAAAGCTTTCCGTCCACAAGGTTGTATCTGAGAAGAGCTTCAGCAAGTTTGCCTCTTGAAGGCAGATCTGCTGGATTGGAAAAAGAACAAACCCTCTCAGTCCAGGAAGCAGTAGGCCATCGTATTTCGATGTCCGCCATGATGCGTCCCAAACTCCTCATGGTAGTAGAAGGGCTATTAGCTTTTATGGTGGTCATGCGAGCCGCTTCATTGTCGATCCATTCAATGGCTCTACGGTTATGCAGTTGTTTTCTCAAGCACCATCTGACTGAGAGCAATGCCCACAACTCAACTTGTGAAATTATCTGATCGCCAGCAAACCGAGTCCAGTGGTCAATCAGATCCTTTGGTACAGCGACTTCATATGCAACCCGTCTATGACCATCAATCACCACAGCTCCTGCTGTTGCAATTCCGTTCTCATAAGCTCCATCTGTGAAGATCAAGACAGGCTGGCAAGGCGCTGACAAAGAGTGTACTCTAGGTTTTGGACTGAGAAGCATTGATTTGGCATAGGCACACAAGCACCTAAGCTCGTCCGATTTCGCTTTCCGCTGACCATCTGCAAATTGCATGAACGCAGAAACCAAGTGCTTCAAACCTTTGCCCATGTAAAAACTTACAGCAAAATTAAGAAGTCCCTGGATTTCGCTTGCCCTGGCTGCTGTGAGGGTGCCAGCGGTTTCTATGTCTTCAAGCATCTTGCACAGCTTTTCAACTCTGCTGTCTTTGTTGGATATCACGAAGTTGCCCTGCGATACTTGGTTGAGGTTAAAAGTGACGCCCAGCAGATCAAAAACTTCTGAAAAGTCAAGCGCCTTGTCACCCTCCTTTGCATGTTCCCAGCCGAGTAAGTCTAAAGTAGCACTAAATGCCAATGTCAGCACTCTGCAACCCTCCGATCTCTCCAGTGTTGGAAAGTCATCGAAGTAATGCGATGTGATGCAGTGAAGGAGCTTGCCAGTGATGAACCATAACGCCTGCGACATCCTAACAAAGCCATAAACACTTCCAGTGCAGCCAAAGGGGAGTGAGATGCTCTTATAAAAGCGCCAAACACCCTTCACTGGGAAGCCAACTACTGCGTGTCGCTGATGTTCAGGTAGCACTGCAAGTTGTTTATAGGCCTTGCTCAAGTCAAATGTTTTCCCAAGCCACTTAAGGCTTGGGCCAAGCCTGTCTGCCGATTCTCGCATGACTTCCACAACCATGGCTGCAGCATAGTCGACATCTTGCAACTGGAGTTTATGACCGACCCTTGTTTGGCATCATCTATTACTCTGACTTTGTTGTTGGCTCCTTGAAACAGCGCAAATCTGGGGTTGAGCGACCAGTCTTCCGATCCCATTAACACCGACATTTCAGCCTCGTTGTATGGTCCTTGCAGAAAACCTCGTTCCACTTCGTTTGCTGTTGCTTCCAGCAAGGCCGTCTCTTCAGTTGTTGTAAGCTGTCGAGCGCCCTGCATTATGCTTTGCCTCCTCCACATGGCCGTCTGTAGCAGCTCATCTTCTGTCATGCTTGCAGGCACCAGCAGCTTCTGGTACCCTTCCGGAGGAGGCTGTAGTCCAACTAGTGGGACCCCATGTTTCAGCAAGTTTACCACTTCCATATCCCAAAACTCAAAGTGCTTGAGGAGCTGTTCAAACAAGAGAATGTTCTTGGTCTTGACGCAACGGCTTACGTCTGGATGCATGCTTGATTTGAGTTCGACCTCCTTTTGGCACAAATCCGATGACATTTTGCGCATTTTGAAGACTGCTGCAAGCCTCTCCTTGGCAAGCTTTGTCGGGCATGTGTGAACCACCTTGTGGATGGCCTCTTTGGTGAGTGGGTGCAACATCAAGTCATGGTCCATGGGATGTCTGACTTCAGACGCCTTTTGCAGAAACTCTTCCGGAGTATGCCAAACACCATATTTGAAAGTTGTTCTTGACCTCTTGCTTGGCGCTTCTTCGCTGCTTTGCTGCTGCTCAGTGGATTCTGCCCCTTTTAGAGGAGGAGCAGCTAGCAATTTGTAAGCTTCATTGGACTCAGGTACGTCAGAAAAGACGTAGGTTTTGTACTCTGGCACAAGCGGTGGGTGTGACAAAGTCTGTTGACCCATGTTGAACTTCAGCAAGTTTTTCAACCTAGCCGGCACTTTAGGTGTAATATTCATGGTTTGAGCCATTTGTAAAACGCAAGCTGCCATTCTACGACAAAGTAAGGCTGGGTATTCCGCCTCTGCTGCTGTGGGAAACACAATACCCTGCTCCGTTTGGTATGGTTGCCATGATGAATGAGTGTGGTTTTGAGGACAGCTCGCTTCCAAAGATGTAAACAAACCTGGAGTACCGAGCAACTTTGTGCGTTTGTCTCTGGTGCTTCCATGTGCACAAGCATCAAAGTACACAGCTTCGAGGTCAGCAAACCAAGCAATGAAATCGGTGTCATTGGTGGCGTTTACCAACATTGCAAGGAGAGCCCACAGCCATGACCTCGCGGGATTTTCAATTGATATCATGCATCCCAGTTCCATGCAAACTTTGAGCAATTGAATGGCACATTTGTAAAGTTTGTTTGCAAGTTCAACTTTGGTTTGGTCACTGTCTCTCAAGCCCGGCAACCCAAGGAGATGTTCGGCATCACGGAGTGGTGGTGGACCCATGTGTCCCCCAAATTTTGCTGGCATCGGTTTCTCACGTGCTCTGGAACAAGTTCCGCATGGTAAACCCATGTGGATGTGACACGGCTTGCAGTGACGCATCATTTTTTCCAACAGCGCCACATGTTTTGAATTCGAAACATCCAAAGTGAAAACTTTGACCTTAGGTGCATGTCGATTTGCCGCATGGTCGATGGGGTAGACTTGGAAGCCAAGACGCGTTAATGCGTCAGACAATCCTGCTGAGCCACAACAAATCTCAAATGTTGTAGCTTCCAAAATGAAACTGTCATCCATCTGTTTCAAGCAAAGTCAGTGGGGGCATTCATTGCCCGGATGCAGCTTATGGCATGCCTTCTTCCAACACATGTGATAACCAACCATGCAGCGTTTGCCCGGCTTTACTTTTGCAGTGCAACGTCCAATCTGCCATCGTTTGCAAAGTTACTTGCCATCAACGAAGATTTCACAATCATCCGGCACTGCAATGCCAGGGGCTGTCTTGCCTTTGCCTTTGCCTTTTGAAGACTTCCCTTTGCCTTCTGCATTGTATGAGCCTTTCCCTTTCCCAGTTGCAGAGAAGGAGTGCGTGTGCTCCGACTTGGACATTCCATGACTCTGCAACGGTGTCAAGTGCTGAAGGACTTCGGGATGATCAGCAAATTTTGTAAAGGCAACGTCAAATGGTTTATCTGCTCCAGCCTTTGGATGCAACTTGCCTCGCGTCTCATTGGAGACCTTCACCCAAAGCGCCTTGTCGGCGTTGATTGCCTGTTCAACGCTGATGTGCCTATAATTGGCAATGGGCGCCTCATTCATTTTTTCAAAAAGTTTCTGTGTCCATAGGTCCAAAACTGAAAAGGTTCCAATACCAGCCAAGTCATATGCTAGTAATCTCCGCAGGAAGGCTTGTCTCAACTTGTGCTCACCTGTCACATTCACATCATCAAGCCGTTGTTTCTTACTGAGTCGCAGGCCACCAGCGTTGTCCAAAGCCAATGATGTGTCAACCTTTGAGTGCAAAGCTGACGTGATGAGCACCTGTTCAATTCAACGTATGTCACAACATTGTCCTCCAACTGCTGGCAAACACGGTCAATCAAGGAATGCGAGGGTTCACTTTGAGGAGTGAAGCTCAAACCTACAAGCCGTTCTTTCTGTTGTCTGATGCGGTCCATCTTTTCAGCCAAAGGAAGTATTCTGGCCTCACTGGACTCAACCCTGTCTGCACGTGACTTCAAATCTTCCAATGACAAAGCATGAGCTTCAAAGAAAAGCCTACGAAATCTGGTTGCGGCAGCAGCATTTGGAACGGCACCCAAGGCTGTTCCCAAGAAGTTAGTCAATGCAGTGTTATCAGTTTGACCAGGTTGAAACGTGCAGCAGTATGCATAAGTAGCATAACTGTTTATGCCTTTCTCTGCCAGTGCCTCGATGTCATCCTGCTCGATTCCAAGTTCAGCTGCCCTGTTCTGAAACGCGATTCTTGAGTCAATAGCCATTAGTTGCTGAACGACGCATAAAGAAAAATCAAGTTGAAACTATTGCGAGATTAATTTCAATATGTAAGTCAAGAAGTTATAATTGCTGTCCAACAGTTTCTGTGAACATAGCAACGCTTTAATGCAAAACTTATTTGTCTGTGAACCTGCGCAAACGTGATGTGTTCTGTTTGGAGCACGTTGGTGCTGAGCCAATGCAATGCCCCACATGAAAGAAGTCTGAGTTGAGATGTCAGGCAATGATACCTCTGCCGCATGATGACATGCTAGGCATTGGGCAGTCATGCGAACCTAATCTCATGACTCCCATGTGACGCATGCAAAGTGTGCCCATGATGGCTCCAAAAGAAATCACAAAAATTTCAAGCACATGGGTTCCGGTGACAAAGTTTTGTGCGATCAGCCATTAAATACAACTGTGAAATTGCCGCTCACTTGCTCACTTTTATACCTCCAATCGGACGTGGTACAGATAAGCCAACTTCGCGGAGAGTAAGGCTCAAGAAACTGCAGCCCCATGTACTTTGTCGGGGTATTCGAAAGCGAGCCAGTGGTTTCTGTAACTCACACTCGAGCATGGCCATCATGACTGATTATCTGAAGCCTTGTAAGCATGAGAACAGTTGGCACAGATCACTGCTTCCGTTGCATTGAGGTCATCCATGGTTGCATTCCTGAACGAAGTCGTGGGATGCCTTCCACACCAAAACTTTCCGTCTTCGCAAACCAGCATATGGATTACCCTTGAATTGCTGTTGATAAGGCACAAACTCAGCTCCACTTCGTCAGTCTCCAGTCGTTGGTACGCTGGTCTCTGCGCCACAACGTTGTGCCCACCCTCTGAGGAAGCCACCGATGAAGCATCAGACGTAGAGCTCGAATCGCTGGAGCTCTCATCACCATTGCTTTCCAACATTGTCGCATATGCCAGCTGAAACAAGCGACTGACTCGAGTTGCATCAGGGTCAAAAGTGCCATCTCTGATCTTGGTGAACATGTCATGCAACTTTTTACAAAGGCTGATCTGGTTGTCCCTCGGGTAGATCATGGCCGAACGATACTGTGCACTTACATGGTGTCCCAAAGCCAGTTGTTCGTCTGCTGAAAACAATGTGCTCTTGGCTGCCCAGCTGAGAATTGTGGCCTTGAGGCCGTGAACTGTAAGCAGCCTAGCCCGCGTAGAACCTGTAAGAGGCTCCAAAAGTTCTCTCAACCAACCTGTAGCTTCAGCAGTCGACATCCTAGAATCAACCCAGCAATGAGCACTTTCTGACCATGAGTTCAAGAAATTGTTCCAGCCACTTGCATCGCATCGCTGTCGTGCATCCATCCAGCTTTGTCCCCAGTTGCCTTCATCAGTCACTTTTCCCAGGGCAGTGAAAGGCAGTAATTCCATCTGCTGTTCTTTGCCTCGAGACGATTTATGTTTCGATGTCAGGGCCTCCAGGAGGACTATGCTGCCAGCAGTCGACAAGTCCAGTGACACCACAAACATTGAATCATGCCATCGTGCTGCAGCAGTAAAACTGAAAAGTAAGTGCCCAGCGATTACCCTTCGATGAAGCTCTGCGTCATTCAAACAAATGTCTTCCAAGGCTGAAACTTCGGCAACAGTCAAAACTTCGGCAGGTCTCCTCACTCTCTTAGTCATGTATGTGGCATGAGCAGCTCCGACAACTCGAGTACTCAGCATGTCTGACAAACGCACCTGTGTGAAGCCCAGCAAAGCGTCAGAAAACCTCATAGCCTCCAGGAATTGAGAGGGTGTTGTTGGACCTGCTTGAGACTGCCGCAAATGACAAACGTATTGATACAGCATCTTCTCTTCTTGGCAAAATGGTGATCCAAGGCCCTGCGTTTGCAGCCAACCAGAAAATCTCCAAAGTGCGTTGCATCTCTTAAGAATGGTTCCAGTTGCTTTTGGTGCAAAAACATCCATGAAAATCTGTGACAACTCATCATCAGGACATAATGTACCAGCAAAACTGCGCAGTGATTGCCCAAGCCTTGTGCTATCTAGGTTCAACAAAACCATAGTCTTAAACCTTGACAAAGCCAGGTGGCGGTAATCGTCCTGCGAAGAGACAAGTCTTGAAGCCCTGATGCGTTGCACTGTCAACTCAGTCTGCTGTATAGGTTTTGGCATGGCACTATCTTCCGACAACGATGCAATGTGGTCTGAGAGTCCAACCAACGGCATCTTGTTCTGTCGCTGCAAGCGTTCCCAAAAAGGTTTCTGTTTTGAAAATAAGGTCGACAAAGGTCCCGTCTGCCATGGTTGCTTGACATCTGCAATAAGCCTATGGATCTGAGTCGAAGCCATTTCATCTGCAGTGCGTTTCACAGCAATGCCAACTGAGGTCGAGACAGGAGGCTTTTCTGCCGCCATCTTTGGTTTGGGTTGCATGAGAAGTTGTCCAGTTCTAACAGGTTCTACTGGCTGATCATCCATAGCTGTTGCAATGTCATCAAAATCATCGTCATGAGGCAAACTAAATATATCACTTGCAGCTGACTGTTCGACATGTTCCCAGTCCACACCAGGATCTGAAAAAGAAGGATCAACATCGTTTGAGTCTGTGTTGGTGACGTTTGCAGATTCAAAGCGTTGCCAACGTCCTCTAAAACCTCTGTGTTCAACAACCATTACTTAATCCTAACTGTGCTGAAAACAACGGTGGGCAGTGTGGTCACCTTCCAGCTCACACCACTTGTGGCAACCCGCACTTCCACAGCCGTTCCAGCAAGGGTTTGGCGTTTGACTTTCACCACGATGCAAGCCAACCTCTGTGTCCTGAGATCCCTGCGCTGTGCTGTTGGGCGATAGGACCAAGGGCACTTCAAGGCGTTTGGCAAGTTCTCTGAAAATCAACAGGAGCAATGAAATGATGCTGTAGTTAGACAGTTCCGAAATCTGCTTTGCATCCATTAGCCCCCGTACGCCGAAAAGAAATGGTTGGTTGAAGAAAGGTTTTTTAAACCCTTCCCTACCTCACCCTTGATATGAAAAATGCCACACGAATAAAAATTCAGATGTGAAACCAAGGGAGAAAGATGTTTAAGGTTTGGTTTGTTTGTTTGAAGTTGAGGGAAATCTTCAGAAAACAAATCAAACATCAGAGACCCCAAACATAACAGATAACGTTTTGACCTGAGTTGCAAAAATTGTGTTGATGCATTTTTGCAATGTTCTTTTAAAGATTGTGCTCTCACTTCGTGACAGCACTCATCCACCTGTCACTGGGGTACCGCGACACAAACTGCTCCACATCAAACAAATTTGGGAGCTCAATCTTCTCCCGGATGCGAGATAGCTGATTGGCGCAACTGATGCTGCTGTCACCCACTAACCTTGGCTCCGAGCCAGCTTTCTTGACTAAGCCCAACTTGCCGGCCGCACAATTGGCCCCAAAGAGGCGCCGGGCCTCCTCCACACCGCCAGGAATCCAGTCAGCAAACCCGGCTTCCACATCTGCTTGCACTAGTCGCATTACGCAGTCTGGATCTTCCAACGCTGAGCCCCAGGGCTCATCTAAGATCTCCAGTTCCACGCCTTCAGGGCGCACAGGTTTGTCTACTGCACGCCACACCCCTGAAGGTAAAACATCTTCCAAAATGCCTGTGGGCACGCCCTCACGTAAAATGCCAGGCAATTTCACATCGATGTCGTCGCAGAACAGCAAAAGCGCACGCCACAGGTCCAAAGTTAGTGGCTGACCCGGCGGCACCTCTACCTTGCAAGGGAATTCGAAGCCTTTGCTCATCAGAAAGTCCGCTAAGCGTTGCCCCACACACTGAACTTCATCTTCACACAGCAAAGGCTCCCGGCTAGCCTGCGCTACATGGGAGCGCAGGCGTGGTAGTAGCTGCCACTCACACACCAACTCCAAAAATTGGCTCCGCAGTTCCGCAAGCAAATCTCCACCCTTGGGAAGATACCAGTCAGCAGTTGAATCTATACCACCACCATCTTTCAGCCGCAACAATCCGCAAGCATCCAGGCTATGTGGCAAACCGCTTGGTACTTGGACCATTTGCGCCGGCGCATCCTGCTCAGAAGAATTTACTGGCGAGATAGATAGTCATTCAAATTTGCCGCCCCGCGGCTTGGTCTTTGGGATCTTCCGATGATCTGCGCTTGCTTCTTTGCAAATTTCAGCATGGTGATCTGTGGCTCCGCACGCTGCACAAGCATGCGCGAACCGGCAGTTCTTCAGCTTGCACTCACCAAGGCGCCACTTGAAACACTCTCCATTGCGTAAGCGTTTTGATGGACCTGTGGCCGGTGCTGTTGGGCGCTTCCGCGCCAATGGCTCTCTGCTTAACTTTTCCAACTTTGGACGAGGCATCAAGAGAGACCTGAGCATATCCCTGTCAACAGCAATTGAATGTAAAGCATCATCAATGCTCGAACCTGCATAGCACAAGTTGAAGACTTCTCTCATTGCAGCTTGGTCTGCCTCTTCGGCTTCTTGGGCCGAGCAGAAACGCAAGTGGGGTCCTGGCACCTGAGTAGAGAATTTCATGAACCTGTTGTTGTAAAGCGTCCAGCTACCTAAGTGCCCGCTCCCAACCATGGCATACGCATGCCCACGCACTGTCAGCAACTGCAAAATAGGAAAAGGCTGATTGGACAACTCACGGTCCAACTGCTCCTCCACATTCGCCCCGCATAAAACTTCTAGGGGCCCGAGAGCAGGCTTCTTATCTTTAAGCGCAGAAGCCACCTTTTCGCTCAACACCTTCTTCCATGGCAACCAATACCAAGCCTTGTTGTCATGCTGCGTCTTCACAATGTTAAGAAAAGGCATGGAAGGAAGTGATTCCAAGTCCACCACACAACCTGTATACTTTGCCTCCAGGGCGCAACATCGAACACAACCGGCCGCAACAGCAAACAAGAAAGAAAACAACACAAAATGCAATACAACTTTCACAAACTGGGCCCTTGCCCTGTATGCTGCAGCTGCACTTAGCATACCAAAGCTACAAATCGCTGACAAAGCATTCACAAAGCCAAGGCACCTTTAACCTTCCACAGCAAGGGATTGACCTTCCCAATCCTACGGTTGGGGGGTTACCGGTGCTCGACCATTGCAACACTAAGGGGATCTTTTTGCAGGGTTCGTCTCTTCTTCAAATAAGTTTCACGGGCACACCCTTCTACCCTCTTGCTTACAAGGACTGTGTCACCACCAGCAACCCCAAGGACATGGAGAGAAAACCTGATTGCAACTAAATAGGACCGCAAAAATGTTGGCGCAGAGGTGTCAGCGTGTTCACACATAAAATTGTAAACCGTAGCCTCATTCAAAGGAAAAGCAGGAATGCCCTTTTTGTCACTCCACATGACATACCGCAGAACTGGACTGGCACGTGCATGAAGTGTGCCCGTGGCTTTACCTGCAAAAATGTGCTTCAGACCATCACCCAAAGCCTGTCCCATCGGTGACAAGCGGTCCCATTGTCTGCCAATTTCAAATGAGTTCAAATACATCATGATGATTCCAGCCCACTTCCGAATTGCTGCAACTCGCTGTGAATTCAGCATGGCCTCCCAAGAATGTCCTGTCACAGTTCGCTTTGCCCTGAAAATCCTTAGAGCCTCAGGTTTGTCAGAGGTGTCTTCTTCACCTTCATGCTCGGGGGAGACCACTGCAATCACGCCACAAGGTCTTGGAACCAAAGGTATACTGCTGCCAGGAATTGAAATTGGAGGGCGCACAACATAAATTGGATTGAAAATTGACCCCCACACCGCACGTCTCGAAAAAGCCAAATGTGACTCAAAAGCATCCATATCATTACAGCTCATCCCCACTTTCAAACCACAGTAAATAGGCAATTGCTGCGAAAAATCCAACAATGAATGACAACATGCCACAACAGCACAAAGTTGGAATGAAAATAAATGACACATGTACTGATGAAGTTGGAAATGC